ATCGTGGAACTGCTTCTGGAGAATCTGCTGTTTGGTGCAGTTTGTACTGCGGCTCTTGTGGTCATGGGAGAGGGTGAGCACATTGGCTGTGGCCACTTTCATGCTGATCTGTATTGTGCTCCGTTCAATGGGCTGCTGGCTCTGAGTCTCTGGCTGAGTTTGCAAGTCCGAATAACTTGGGACTTGATATTTGGGATGCACCAGGGTCATGTCCTGGAACGCAGGCAAGGTTGGTGCATTGTCAGCCAGGTATTCAAGATACCAGAACCACTGGAGATACATCAGCGCCACAGGATCTTGGAGCCATCGCAGCCATGACTGAGATCCTTCCACTTGGCCGAAGTTTGTAGCCGCATATTTGGCCAGGGCGTCAACAAGCTCATTGTAAGGATGCTGGCTATGGGCTTTGATGTGGTTCCAGTGCAGATGCGAGTGTTGATGACGTTGCTGTAAGACCTGCGCCAGTGAGCGTAGCAAGGTTCTCCACTGGCCATGATCACGTGTGCGCCAATAACCCGCAGCTTGGTACCCTGTATTCATGGCATCAAAGTTGAAGGCAAAATGGACATCCTTGGTTCCAAACTCTTGTAGGCACCAATTGCTGATCTGGATAGCCCAAATGAGCGCCCAGGTCATAGCAGCATGTTCGCCTTGAAATGCAAAAGTGGCGCCTTCAACTGCTTTGGAAAGACATCCTGCAAGGAAAGTCCCTCTGTCAGTCTCCACGAGGCATGCAATTCCGGCTCCAACGTGGTCTTTGATGCGAGAACCATCTACAAAGAAGTGTATGATTCTGGGTTGCTCTGCACTTGGCGTCATCAAAAGTTGTAAGCAATCATTTGATATCATTTGCAACTTCTGGGAGAGCAAAATCTGCAGGCCATTCTTCCCATACATCCAATTGGATTTGTTGGAGTTCACACCAAAACCATTGCACCGCAGAGAAATCCACCTGGGTATGGCTGGGTTTGGGAATCAGCTCATCAAGGGAGAGCTTTCGAGACTGCAGACCAGGTCGCTGAGCATGAGCCACCGTCTCAGCTGTTAGGCACCTGGGTGCAGTTCGTTGGCCAGGAAGTTGAATCATGGAGACTTCATCATGGGTGACATCAGGTTGGTCACCGTTTCCCACTCAAAGTCAGTGTCGGCATGGCTGTAGATTCTAGGGACCTGCTGTATTCTGTGGCCATCACGCAGACATCGAGCAATTGCCCTAGTGGGAATTTGCATCCGAGGGTGTGGAGGAAGATCAACTCTGACATAGTCTCCATGCGATATAGGAAAAGGCACAGGGCTGCCAAGCGGGATCACACGATTGTTGACACGTACGATACAACGTTGTTTGACTGCTGCACAGTAAGGTTGAATGCCCAATTCTTCCAGCAGCACTCTGCGTGTCATGTCCTTCCTTACTGCATGAGCGTAGCGGTGGACATTGAGATTCTGCGGCTGGTTCTCATGGAAAATGACATCAACCAGGATGCATCGACGAATGTCACCTGGAGCAAAATCCTGGCTTTTTTGCACAATGGCAGCCCAAGTGCCTGCGATCTGTAGATCAGGTGGGCTTGTTTGGACAAGGTGAATGTATTGGATTTCATGTCGTTCAAGCTGAAGAACATGTCGCACATTACTGTACGTTGAAGCCCATGTATCAGATTGAATTCTTGCAGCTACCATAGGTGCTCTCAACTGGAAAAGGTGAAAGAATATAGATTGCACTTCACTGTCGTAGGTTGAAGCAGCTGAGCTTGATGATGATTCCATTCCATCTTGTCTGACAGCTTGAGGCATGTCAAAGACTGGCTCTTGATCTTCTACCTGACGGGGTTGATGCGCCATAAGGGATGCTGCGTCACCTATATCCTCTTCTGAAATTCTGTCAAGCTGACGAGGAGATCTACTGCGAGGTCGTGATGGATCATGCGTTGATGGACCACCTTCGTCTTCAGGATCTTCAACTGTTACGTCAGCAAAAGGTTGTGGTTCTTGTTGTGCTCGAATGTGAATCACAATTGAGGCTCCCTGTGGGATTTGGAGAGGCTCCTCTGGAAGGTCCAAAACTGGACACCAACCATAGTATGCCTGTATGGTCCTGTGCTGTACCTGTTGCAGGAACTGTTGCAAGAGTGATTGCAGTAGTTCGATCAAGTTGGGCAGGACCAAAGCATGCTAAACGCTGGAGCGCAACACGCTCAATGGAGTGGTACACATTCGTGAAAAGGATTGCACTTTCGTGTGGGTGCTCTTGTTGCGTCAGGATGATCTGAGCCGCATGGTCCTCATCGTCAAACGCAATGGGTGGATCAGGACTGACTACATGGAATTCCACAGTAGTTCCTGGATCAAGTTCAGCTGCCCAAGCATTTTGAAGGAGTCGAGGCCACTGTAGGAAATCATCAAAAAGCCGCACAGTTCTGGATCTTCTGCACTCCCTGAGGCGGTGCCCATGAAGGTACCAGGACAGGACGTTCATGCTTCTTGCTCCAGTGTGTCCATCAACTTCTCCATATTGATGCATGGCAGTCTCAAGGTCTTGAATGAATGCAGGTTGTAGCCGAATATCTTGCAGGTGTGGAGCTTGACGTTGTTCTCCATGTCCATAATCGGCATAGAAAGATCCATAAGCACCTTGAGAATGTTCATCAGTCAAATGATTTGTGGTTGGCGTCAAATTCCGCCTCTTTTCAACATTCAGTTTCCTGTGGTGTAGAGCCTTGCCATGCGTTGAATAATGCATGAGGGTGCCATCTTCTTCTTGAGATATTGGAGCATGGCTTTGTGTGGCTCGGTGGTGTAAAACAATGTCATTCAAAGCCGCACAAACTGTGTGAAAGTCACGATGATCAGTGTTGGGTCTCCGAGCCCAAGGTTTGCGCCTTCCGGAATGCAGAGCTCCCTCATGCAAAAAGAAGGTCTGAGCAGTTCCAACCTCATCCTCTGAAAGTATAAGAACTTCAATGTGAGGAGATAAAATCACCGTTCGACCTCTTGTTTGCCGAGTCTTTTGCAAAGGCAAACGCTGTGCAGGGTTAGAACGGGAAGTCAGAGAACTCGCATCTTGGGCATGACATTGTTGCTGTAGTAGGAAAGCATCATGTATTGCCATGAAAGGATGGAGGCAACCTGGATCAAAATGAACAGAATGGAGGGGCAGTTCATGGGAAATACCTGTCCAAATGGAGAAGGATTCTGATGAATCCACCTGGCATGCTGCATGGCAATCAATCCAAGATGGGATTGCTCCATAGGCATCAGCCGTGTGGCCTGCATCGCTTCTCCAGGTCGGAAGTGGCACGTGGAACTCAATCTCACTGAGACTCGGGTATCCACTGCCCACAATCACGAGACACCACCAGGCTCGCATGAGCGTGGGCGCTTGTGCTTGTGCGGCTCGAGGTCCATTTCCTCCACTTCTTCGTCTGACAACTCGATCGCTTCTTTGGCTGTTGATGCTCTGCAGCACTTCTTGAGGATTTTGTTGACGTGGCTTCGCAATTCCGCTTCCTCTGCATCCTGTAGAGGCGGTTCCGAGGGTTCGTCCTCCTCGATGGTGACCTCCGGAATTGCAGTCTCGGCAGCTTGAGAATTCAGTCGCTGAAGGGCACGCCTGGATGTTTGAATCTCTCTGCGAGATTTCTGGATACGATCCTGGTAATCCTTCTGCTGATTCTCGAAGGCCTCGATCTGCTTTTCCAATGTGTTCATCAAATTGGAAAGGTGCGAAAGCCATGACTTTCGATGTCGGCTGCGGGCATCTTGCAGCTGATGTAGAAGTTTGCGTGCCTTGCTGATGGAATCTGTTGTGCGATGCATTTCCTTTCGAAGCTGTTCTGTAGTTTTGATCTCGTACTTGTCCACCATCTTCTTCACGTGCTCCGGCATTGTCTGCGAATCTGTGTATGCAGATCGAAGAGCCGTCATCATCTCCGCTGTCTCTTCCGCTGTCATCTCGACAATCTCGGTGGATGAGGCAGCTTCCTTGGCAGTAGTGCCAGATGCTTTCCAGGGAGGCGGCATGGCCGGAGCTGCATATTGAGGAAGTTCCTCGTTTTGCTGCTTCTTCCGTCCACGCTGTCTGCGGTTCTTCCTGGCGCCCTCGGAACCACTGCGTGCTTGAGGCTGTTGATGTTGCTGTCGACCTTGAAACTGCACATTTCTCACATGCGGCGATTTGCCGCGTCCACGATTGTGGGGCGATTCGCTTGTCTTCCGGTCTGGTGGCACAAAGGAGGTATCTTGCACCTTGTCCCATCTGCCTCCACAATGAGGACAATGGGGATGCTTCCCACTCAATATCTTCCAGCAACGACGGCATCGCCACGATTCCGTCATTTGTCCAACTCCTCCACAAAGAAGACGTCGAAGTTTGGCCAGATAGAGGTGGTCTGCTGAATGGTGTTGCGCAAGGAAATGAATATGCGACTTGATGCGGTCCTTGTTCAAGAAGATGTGGCCCTGTCGACGCAACCAAATCTGCCGTCGAATGGACGCACGTCGCCTTCTGTGTCGTCTGCGAAATGTTGGGGTAGCCGTGCCCCCTACCAATCAAAATCGAGAAGACCAATGTAGCCAAATAAATCAAAATTGTTGACATACACCGGGATGCAGTGTAGTTACGGTTTGTGGCAGTGAACCGTTAAACCCGTCCTCACGAAGAGGGAGATGCTCTGGCCAACCAATGCAGGGATGTAAGAACTCGAAGAGGTAGTTCAGAAACAAAGCCAGCGTAGAAGTGGTCCAGAAGCAACGGTGATCAGGGCTTGCGCTGAACCCTGAGAGCACAAGAAAGGCAAACACAGCGAAGTGATGCCCGCGGTCAGCGCAGTATGGCTGCGACCGCTCGGGTTTCACAGGGTGGCGAGGTGCGGCTTGACCCGAAACCCTATTTATATATACAATTTCAGATTCTTAAACCACCCTATTTTTTATGGTCTGTACCCATCTGTACCCCTTTTCAGCGGTCTCTCCCCATTCTAATCGTGGAGGTTCTCTATCACCTGATCCATCAGGGGCGGGATGACCATGGCTTCAGCACGTTTCGCCCATGCCTGCCATGGCCATGGGAAAATCCCATGTCGCGCTGCGGAAATCCATGGATTGATGGGAATATCATGTTCTTTGCTGGAAAATTGCTGCTTTTTGATGAGAATCTTCGGTGAAAAATCCGTCATGTTCAGAGTAGGGAAAATATCTGTGCGTCATGGAAAAAAAACATACATGGAGTTTTTTTGGAAGGGGTAAAGTTGTTCCAATGCCGGGTCTTTTTACTAGAGGGTACAAGGGTACTTACCAGTAGCATAAGATTACATCGCAACATGTTTCATGGCACGTTCCCCATTCTTGTGGCTTTCCAACCACCTCCTGGCACCTCCTGGTGTTTCAAATCCCGACATTTCCGCCCCATCAATCCATATGTATATATATATAGAAAACACACACAAAAAAAAATACTCTGATCCCTTCTGAACCCATCTTTTTTAGCACACCCAGTGGCTTATCCCACCCCCAGGACCACCTTCTTAGTGATCGCAGCCAGACTTACAGCTCCAAGGAACCAGGACCAAAGCCCTTCCTGGCGCCATGCAGATGGGATGGGGAAGGCAAGGGTTGACCCATCTGCGACTTGAAGGGACGCAATCTTCTCGAAATCACGGTAAAGTTAAAAGCAGTTGCTGGGAGGCTTAGCCTTAGCCTTTTTGACTTTTTTCCTGCAAATTCTTCAATCCATCCATTTTCCTCAAAACAGACTGTTGTCAGTGGTCAACGAAGGGGGCCAACGCCATCAATTCCGGACAAGTTGTTTTTCCTCATAATAAACAACCTCCAGAAACCTTGGCTGCGGGGTGCATTTATTTCTGATTGGCGTGCGACAGAGGCTGGGATTGAAGAAGACATGGGGTCGATTAATTCATCACTTTGTGTCTGCAAACACAGAAATCGTACAATGCCATGTCAAAAACCGACCAAGCACCGTGATTTCCCAGGTGAGCGGAAAATCAACAAGTGGAAGCCACAGATGAAAAACGGTCGGCTCGTTGGGTCAAGACATTGATATTGGGGATTGTCATCGGAGCGCTCTCTCTCTCTCTCTCCCACTCTCTCGCCATCTCTCTCGCCATCTCTCCAAACAGTTCAACCCGGCCATAAAATTTGGACAAAAAACGTGTTGAATCATCAACATGTTTGTTGCAACTTGAAACCATGTTTTTCCAACAAAGATGTTGAAACCACATGAAACCACCAACCGCAACCAGACTTGCACATAGATCCCATCTTCAAGGAATCATTTCAGTAGGCCCTATCCGGTCCTCATGAACCTTGCGGAGGAGGAGACTCAAACCAGCAAACAATCCAAGACCTTGGTCTTAAAGGGATCCTTTTGGAAAAGCGCAAAACCCACCAATTTCTAGAATGGATTTGGCCTGATGTTTGGTGAAGATCTTTGGGCTGGTTCCCCTGACTCACACCAACTACCGTTCATGGGACGTCGTGGTGAAGTCGTTATTCATAGTTCGTGCACATAAGGGCTATCCACAAAGGCACTGGATGCAAAAATGCGTTTTGATGTGTGTTTTCCGTGTTTTTCCTATCGGTTCTCCTGCAAATCACTCCCCATCCCGTTGCGACATCGCCACCCACACAGCTGGTAATCTCCACCAGCGGTCCCTGCACAGAGCGCGGGCTGATCTCAAAGGTCTCGCCTCCCACCACAACCGGCGTGGCGTCAATGTCCATTTTGCCCATGGCTCGGCAGCGATTTGGGCGGGTTTTTGGGCGAAAAAGGCGGTTGAAGGGATTTGGAGTTTCATGCGGGACTGGCAGTGTTGACAAGTTCAAAATTTGTGGAACCTGCAGTTGATGCCCTTAGATGTTCCTGCTAAGGCTCGAGCACAAGCTGCCAGAGACGCAACAGTTGATGCCAGTACGAGTGGCACCATCCCATTTTTGTAGGGATACATCTCAAAAGACATTTGAAGTCGTCAAAACGGTCTGTGTTGTTGCGGATCCTCGTTTTCAATCCTTTTCATATGAAAATCCGATGCTTCTTCACGAAAGGAACAGTTCCCCTGTTGTCAACAGGAAAAGTTCAGGTTCTACAGCATTCTACAGGACAAACAGCAGTATAAAGTTCTAATTTGCAAAGAAACAAACTAACAGGACTATGGGTTCGCCATTGTTGAATATGCACTACCCTGACTACCCCAATGATTTCCATGAAATTGCCATAAAGAAGGCATTCCTTATTTGGGTGTCTCAAAAATAGGCTATCCATGTTTTCCCATACCTGAAGAGTCAGGACAAAGCCAGGTGTCAGGTGTGCCTCTACCAACGCCTGGTGCCGCTCGCGACGCTGCTGCACTTCTTGGTCCAGGAATTCTCCAAGGGCGTTCAGCCTTGAGGATTCGAAGAACTTAAGCCACAAAGATAGGGATGGTGATGGATGGTGAATCAAATAAAACTGGGTCCTCCAATCAAAATCCCCCCCCAAAAAAATAGCCCTCCAACAAAAAATAGTAAAAAATATGTAACAAATATGTAACAATGATAAATTCATTGAATTCTTCATCTGCTTGTCGGCCCCCAGCGACGCCTTGAGGCCATCCGACTTGACACTCGTTCCTGTAAGGTAGCATGGCCTGGAAGGGACAGGCCAACAGCACTTTTTTCCAGCGAAAATCACGGTTACTTTAGAGGTAAATTGGGTAAATACTGAGATTAAATACTGTTTAAGAATGGCAGATACAGAATGATACAGAGCGAAAATGGCGAACTAATTTAATTGCCCCTTGTGGCAAAACAGTTCCCCTTTTTAATGCTGGAATGACCCTGAAAAATTGATAAAAATGGCTGTGATTCGCTCAACTCGTGGGGGAACCTCATGAAAACTTGGGGCGCAATCTTTTGGGAAAAAAATTTAAAATAGATCCAGGGGATTTTCCGTTGCCCTTTTTAGAGGGTGATGACCGAGTCACAAGTGGAGTCGGGAACCCTTATTGCCTTCAACTCAGTTTTTTTTCCGCTGAGCTAAGGATTTTCGTATTGCTGCACTCCAGGTCATCTTCAGATGAGCGGAGCGATTCTACCGCCGTGCTGTTCAGCGCTTCTATTATCAGCATGCCAGGCTTAGAGTAGCCATTGCCCTGTTTCAGGGTATGACAGCATGTGATTTGGCAAACTAAAGGTCGACATCCTCTCAGACCTCCAGGGTCCTGGATCAGTTGAGCGCATCATCTTCTCATCCTTTGGCCTTGGGCGGAGGTCCGCGTGGCTGGTCAACTGGTCGAAGGCACTGCGGTGAAAGCCTTCGGACCTGGGAGCCAAGATGTGGGCCCACATCTTGGGATGATCTTCCAAACCTGCGCAAATGCGGTGGCCCTATGAAAAATCAATGGTTTCCCTCTTTTTTTTTGGTGGGCCAATGTGGGTTCTCTAAATATGTCCTATCTAGTCTGGTATGACCCACACTGTGGCAACAATGAAAACCATTAAACTTGGCAAATCCAAGAAACTCTTCCCTGCCCACATCGTGGCCCTGAGTTCGCCGTCATTCCTTACCTCCGCAAGGTGTGAACGACTCAGTTTGAGGCTTGAGGTGCTACGCTGCCATCGCTGCCATCGCTCCTTGTCCTCCCTGAGATCTGACGTCTCGGGGGCTGCCACTTCCGGGAAATGCCTGCGTGGCCAAACTTAGCTGTCCTGTCCCAAAACAAAAAAAAAAACTTTGCGGGGCTGGGTCCTACGTGAAAACGTCACCCATGTTTCACGATTCACCATCTTTCACCATTTTTTACCCATGTTTCACCCCATGTTTCCCACCTGTCATGTGGTAAGGGCCTGCAGGCCTTCCGCAGCTGCAGGCGGGCGGCCTTCTCCCGACCAATGCTGGCCTCCCAGGAGGCGTTGCCAATGCGGGAGACCAGCTCCATAGGCATCCCGCGCAGCGCGGCTGAGCCAAGGATGGCTGTGGGATGGGCCATTGATGTTTGACATCCACTGGAAGTATCATCCCAAGAATTGGGGTCAGTCATAGATTTCAGAATCATGAAAGTGTTTCAAATGGCTGGAAATCAATGGAAGGTGCGTTTGAAATAACAAGTCCGACAGGCAAGGTCCCGCAGCTATGGGGAAACCATCTTCCAAAGGCATGTTTTGGTGCGTTCAAGATTTGATTTGCAAGGGGCACTTGCCCATGACAATTCCTACACGTTTCCTTGACAATCCAATCTCTGCCTGGCCTCCAATCTCCTCGGCACATCGGTTTTTGAGCTCACAATTCCTACACATTTCCTTGACAATCCAATCTCTGCCTGGCCTCCAATCTCCTCGGCACATCGGTTTTTGAGCTCCTGTAGGCCGATGAGCCCCGAGTCCCCAGTTCTGAGGTCCATGATAAATTTTAGGGAGGATGATGCATGATGATCCTGGAAGTCAGGGTTTTCCAACCGATATCACCATTTCATGATGCACACCTACCCTCTCTTATCATCCAAAGCCTGCCCGGCACTGGAAAAATCTTCATGCCGGTCCGCTATACCATTTGTATCATCCTGAAACATTTATACACCCTATTGATCCGATTGATCCTTTTTTGGTTGCTCAACGGCAGGTCAACCCCCTCTATACCCCTCTGGTAATCCAACATAACTATGGAAAATCGCCATTTTTCATAGCTAAATCTTCGAACTATATAAACCGACAATGTGTCATTGGTTTTCATCGCAAACTCTTAGTTTATAGCAACCCCACAAAATTTGAACTAGATAACATCTACTTCAAATGCCCAGCTTTCCCACTATTTAATTTTTTCTACTTTGGGATTGCTATACTTCAAGGATGATCCCACTAAGTACAGTGGTTGGTAACCCTGGTGTCTCCCCATTGAGTGGGTTATCCCATATAGAAATGGATCCGTTGCCCATTTACGAACCAATTACAGTAATTCCTAAATGGGATGGCCCTCCAAGTAGTTGAGCCAATAATTATAGTTATTTCCACTTAATCCAGCTAACTATAGTTGCTAGAATCATATCTCCCAATGAACCTATTTCCCAGTTACTATTATATCATCATCATTATCATGTTTATTCGTTTTTTTTTGCCAGCTAATTATGTTTAACCATATTATGAACCCAGCTATAAATAAGCCAGTTCTAATAACTAAGCCAGTTGTTACTACTATCATTGTTACTATTCTTACTATTAACTACCATTCTATTGTTGTTATCACTATTATCATTCTTGTACTTAACTATTTCCCAGCTAGTTACATAGATTACGCAAGTCAACTTACTTTGTGCCATCGATTCTGACCGCAGAGTAACAATTTCCTAGTGATTATTACTACTGTCAAATACGATTATTACTATTAGCTACCATTATTGTTATTGATACTACTATCATCATGATAGTTAACTAGTTCCCAGTGATTATCATCATTCTAGTATACCCTGTGGTAATTTAAGATGGCTATTGAAATTGGCTATTTATAGTTGATTTACCCATTAAGAATTGTGATTTTCCATAGTTTTTTGTATGTTTACCAGAGGGTAACTGTTAACTATTTCCCAGTGATTCCCATTACAAACAAATTCCATTGGATTCCCAGTGATTCCCCATAGTTCTGGTGATTTTTCCCATTAAAAATGGTGGATTTCGCAGTGATTCCCTAGAAACATCAACCGTGGCTCGCACCTCCAGTGTCTGCTCCAACCGTTGCGCAGCCGCGCTTTCCAGCGCCTTCTGTCGCAGCAGCCGCAGCGATTCCACCTCCGCACGTGCCTGCCACGGAGTCCACGGGGGTCTCCAAACACGAGAATTGTTTAGCAATGTCTAGCAGCAGACTTTGTGAGCCTCGTTGACGCACCATCACGCTATCTCAGTCTACATTCATGAAGGTCGAATTTGGATTCCAGGTCAGCGGCGCCAAGATTGGTTGAGGTCCCTAGTTCGGGGCAAAAAGTAATCTGGCGCCTCAGCCCCATAAAAAATAAATGTTGAAACCAACACCTAGTAGTGGGATTCATTCATTCTATCTTTTTTCAGTTGCTGTCAAGGCTTTTGGAGCAATCCGTACATATTCTTCCAGGCACTTTGGCTCGACAGAAGGCCGTGGGGGGAAATGCTTTGGTGCGAAGCCACGAGCGGGGCCCATTTTTTGCGTCAGACTTGGCGCAAGATGCCATTACCGGCGTTACCACAAACACCATACTGGAGATCACTTTGGCATCTGTGCCCTCACTTTATTCCATGTTCATAGATGGAAAACCCCACTGTAGGATCTCCGGTATCATCACCGTAGTTTTATGCTCGCACCAGCAATAGCGGCGCTGGGAATTTTACTGTTTTTCCCCACCTGCCAGGTGAGGGTTGTTAGATTTTATGTCAGTTGCCTCCTCCTGCCTCGTCCTCCTCCTCCTCCTCTCCTCCTCTCCTCCTCGTCCTCCTCGTCCTCCTTGTCATCCTTGTCGTCCTTGTCGTCCTCGTCGTCCTCGTCGTCCTCGTCCAACTGCGACCCGCGATCCACAGTGTTCTCTGCCGGACCTCAACCACGACCATCCACGCCAGTGTTCCCTGCCGGACCTCAACCACGACCATCCACGCCCAGTGTTCCCTGCCGGACCTCAACCACGACCATCCACGCCCAGTGTTCCCTGCCGGACCTCAACCACGACCATCCACGCCAAGTGTTCCCTGCCGGACCTCAACCGCGAGTATCCACGCCAAAAGATATGCCACATAGAGTGCCAGAAGATATGCCAGATAGAATGTGAATGTCAGATGCCAGATAGAATGCCAGAAGTATGCCAGATAGAATGCCAGATAGAATGCCAGAAGATATGCCAGATAAAGTGCCAGAATGTTTGCCAGATAGAATGCCAGCAGATTTGCCAGATAATATGCCAGAAGATATGCCAGATAGATGATGGAATGCCAGAAGATATGCCAGAAGATCTGCCAGAAGATATGCCAGAAATATGCCAGAAGATATGCCAGTAGAATGCCAGAAGATATGCCAGATAGAATGCCAGATCGAATGCCAGAAAATATGTCAGATAGAATGCCAGAAGATTTGCCAGTAACAAAATGTATAAATGTCATGGTGGGGATCACACGAAGTAAAGTACAGTAATTTGTTTTCTTGGGGGGATTTGGGGTGGGGCAATAACGTCCAGGGACTTCGTTTTTGCCACTCCGTTGCTGACGTAACGCTCTGACTTCCTCTTTCGGTGGGATGCCTACCTGGAATTTGTGTGGAAAATTCCATGGAAACCCGGGAAATCAGGTGGATCGTGGCCTCTCAAGGACGCCACCAGGAAGGTTGGTCTGAAAAAACATGGGAAACTCAGAACATCTGCGATGCCTCCTCCAGCATCACGGTAGCAGACAGGAAATCCGGCATCTTCACCTGGAAGTTCATCGGAAGTGGCAATGGGTCCACCATACTTTTGAGCCCAGATTTTTGAAAGAAATGTCCATCTTTGTTTGAGGGAAAAAAGCGGAACGTCATCCAGTTTATGATTTGAATTTTGCATCTTTTCCTGAGAATAGTGTCCAGGCTCGTCACGTTTGCATTTGTAGATACTGGCATAACCAGTTATAAGTAGAGGGATACTCATGGATAATCCTATGTAACTGCGGGGACTTGATATCACCGAGGCTATCAACATTCTATATGGCCCTAAAAATATTCGTGTGGGATGAAGATCCGAGAGTACTAAGTTACCAAAAGCTAACGGTTTTGGCCATCGGACCAGCACCCCACGGAGAAATCGCCCGGTTCGGAGATCTTCCGCCTCGATCTTTTGCTCGGGCACCAGTTCCTGCAACATCTCCTGCGTTTAGAATGGCCATGGTTCGTGCCAAAACCAGCTGGTTCAGCAGATTGGTTGATGGATAATGATGGATAGCTAGGTAACCCTTAGGTAGATAAATGGAAAGAGGGATAGATGATAGATGTAGACAGGATGGAATGTTTCTCAATTTCGGTCTTGAAATGCTGCCTCTCTTGTTGATTTCACATGCCATCGTTGCGTTTTGGGGATGTACCTCCTGCGGATATGTGCCAGGAAAATCCACAATGATTCATGGTATCCTTTGTCTTGCGCAGCGTCTCATAAAGTCACCAAGAGAGTGGCATTTGGTACCAAGACTGGAGGTGATAAACAATTACGAATAAAATTTTACATCTCAAAAGTTCGGGATGTATTTATATATATATATTTAAAAAAAAATACACATATCCAGATATTATATATATATGTGTGTGTGTGTGTCATATGTGTGTGTGTGTCATATATATATATATATATATATATATGTGTGTGTGTCATATATGTGTGTGTGTGCATCTAAAGCTGGAAATGTTACCCCACAGAAGGTGCATTTCAAAGGATTTCAGTGCCCCTCATGGTGGCCCCCATGGTGCGCTCCTGGCCCGCATTGTGCCAGGATTTTAACTGTTGCCGATGTCGACCCTGAAAGTCTTGGAGCCGCTTTTGCCATATCTCCTGGCCCGCCCTGCAGACCTGGCCCACCCAGAGATGTGAAATAAATAGCGAAAAATACTTTAAAATGACACAAAAATACTCGAATTGATAAGAAAAACAGCGTGAACATCAGGGAAAACATGACTATTCTAATATATTCTGGACAGCACCCACAATCGAAATTTGGTGGTTTTTTCCCACGTCTATGAATCTACTATACCATGGCCGGAAGTGATCTGTTCATCAGGACCACTGCAGGACCTGGCCGCGCACCTGTTTCTGACCGAGCTCAGCATTGTCTCCAACCTGACGAGGAGTCCAGTTGAAGCCACCCACTGGAGCCATCCCACCACCATGAAGGGGATTTCCCCAATCAATGGGGTATATGAACCACCATTCATGGGGGCACTAGGGAAAGAAACCACATATTGACCATGGCACATGAAACTTGAGGCGTCTGAACAAGTGGCGGAGCAAGCTGAACTCGGCCTCTGGGAGCTGACTGAAGACTTTCGTCAGGTCCTTTAAGCCCTGCTCCAGCTCTCGAATGTCCTCCTTGCTCTTGGAGTGCCAGGCCTGGAGATTCGCTGGAACTGGAGGCTATGGCGGCTATGACAAATGATAAGTGGAGAAAAAGCAATAGTAAACCATTCCCAATGTTACCATAAATAGGCGGTATAATCATGTATAAACATGTATAAACACTCAAAACATGGATGGTTGATCATTGCTTCACTGCCATGAATTCAGGATTTGCCACGACCTGAATATTTCACGGGTGTTCATCCAGTACGGGCAATCCAAAGGTTGCTAAGTGCCCCGTAATGACTGCATGCAGCTCAGAAGGGCTTTAGAGCTCCACCCACTAGCCAAGTTGATGCGATGAAGTTTGTTGATTCTGCTTGCTCGAAATGAGGGGATCCCATCCTTCGAATAGCCAACGCTCATTTTTGTTAGTCGACATCAAGCCCCAAGAAGATCAAACATCTGCCTGCGTTTTATCCAAAAACTTGCAGTTTCTCTCCACACCTCCACCCGCAGCATGGTACTTTCCACTCCACCCAGCAGGCCACTGAGGGTCCACCGCCGGCTGGGGGTATGGGGCGGTGTCGGGGTCCTGGCTGGATGACTTTATCGTGGTCTGTGACTATTTGTGACCTATCTACCACAAAGACACTCTGAATCTGCAGATTTGGAAATGTGGTCCACACTTCACATCCTCCAAGTTCTCGGAGTTCAGGACTTAGGCATCTCGTATGCATTAATTACTCATTTGCATAGGAGGTTTGGTGCCCTTGGACCTGACGGAATTTTGCCAGCGAGACCTCATATCCTCGGATCGCAAGGACCGCGACAGCTTGGAGGGAGTCTGATTTAATCTCGCTGCCTCGAGAGTTGAGGGAGACGTGCCTGGGCACTACCTGGTAGGGTTTGGTGCCCCAGCCCCTTGTTTTGATGATGAGGGGCGATCAGCTTTGTTTCCAAACGACCAACCCAAACATCCCAAGCAGATCATCGTTGGAGGAACAGGAAACAAAGCCAGCCTGTCTGCAATGTTGCACATCTTCAACTATGATCTCACATACAGACCCCCTTTGAACGGGATTACACCCGACCCAATGCATATTGTATCTCTATTTCTCGCTTAGATATGCTGATATGCTTAGATTTTGACCCAGTTTCCGGCGAGACTTTCTACCTGGTGCTTCTACTGCTTGATGTTGGCTGCTGCTTGATGTTGCAAAATCGAGTACTTGTGAACTGTGGCAATCCCAATGGCTTTATTACAACCGTTGGCCACACGTGTTAAAAACAATCATAACAATCATGTAAAAAAAAACACCGCACTGGAAACATAATTCAATCATATATAGACACAATAAATACATGGTAAAAATATATAAACATTATTATCACTTGAGGAGAGCCCCATCATCTGGGCCCCAACCGGAAACCCCCCAATCCCGGCCCAATCCATCCCCGGCACCCGCAGCATCATGGCGCTCTCCCGGCGTCCCCGCGCCACCGCCTCCAGGACGCCTTCCAAGCGCGCTTGGAGGCGCTGCCGCACCGCTTGCAGCAGCGGCTGGCAGGGGCTCAGGCCGGAACCTCCGTGGTTCCAATGGTGAAACGTTTAGGGGAAAAGTAGGATTTCAGCTGCAAAACAATGTGGATTTCTAGGAAAACCATGGAAAGCCCAAGATGTTTGATGCTTTAAGAGGGGGTTGAACAACAAATAATAAGGAGACCAATGGTATTCCCAAAGAGTTTGGCGTTGCACTTGGCCATCAAAACTTATGCTTTAACTACTTTCTCCCAAGGTGTTTCCCCTTTGAAGTGAAGCAAGTTCAGGCATATCCCAAGTCTCCATGCCTGCAGCGACCAGCCAAGCAGACCGATCGTCAAATTCCTTCAGAGCCTTCGGGTGCAATGGGATCTCCCCTCAGCAGAAAGTACCAGCTGGTGCTTCCAGTTATCAGTTGGTTCTTCCCATAGTTCCTCTTCCAGTCTTACACTAGCAAATCATCAAATCACGCAGGGCACTGACCATGTCACGCCAAAATCATGGCAAAGAAAAGATGTGCCATGTGCCCCCAAAGAGCCATAACTGCCTTATTGATCCGAATTGTGCCTCAGTTACATCAGTCACATTGACCCATCAGTGGTGCCTGAGCCCACCCACCCTTTCCACCTCCTCCACAGCATTGGAGTTGTCCGTGGCCCTGGGGCTGCCATTCTGCACCGGCACCTCTACAGATGCAAGAAAAAGAAGAAGCTAATCTGATGGGGTTCAACATGGTTCAGCCTTCTACAACACATTTTTTTCAAGTTGGATTGTACAATAACTCATGGCCATCAATAATATCACTATATATCACTATGCACCAAGTCATCATGGCAGTGGTTTTGATAGAAGGACAACCGCGCCCTCTCACATCACCCCAGTGCTTGGCGCTCCAGATCTGCGCACATCGTCATGCCCAGGCACTGTGCTGGCAGCTGCTGTAAACTTCTTTGCAATGTCCTGTCCCAGATCAAATGTGTGGAACTGTGGAATCAAGATGCTGCCCATGAATCTTGAAGGCTCAGGAGAGCCTGCTTAACGATAAAAATGAAAGCGACTGATCGTTGTTGCTCGCAACTCCCATTTTTTGCAGGTGATGGTCTCTCAAAGCTCTACAAGGACCCTCTCCACTCCAAAAAACTCTCACTCCCAACCCCGCTCTCTCCCCGCTTCATCCCCAAATCCAACCAACCCCTAAACTATATAACCCCCCCACCCAAAAAAAAAAAAACTTCATCAACCGCATCCCACACTGGAGCCTGTAAACCCTATCCCTAACCTCCGTCCCCTGCCCAAAGTCATAGTTCCCTAAAACACCAAATTCCACATGAGTCCCATTCCGAACCCAAACCCCTTCAACCACCCCAAACCCACCTCCACCAGTGGGTCCAAGTGCATGGAGCGCATGGCATGCTCCGCCGCCGACACCGGATCCGCGGCCGCCCGCGGCAGCGCGGAGCTGCCCTGGAGCTCCGCCAGCAGCTGCTCCAGGCGCTCGGCCAGCTGGCTGCCTGACGCCTGGCTGAAAAAGAAGGTGATTTGACTGAACCAAAATAGAGACTCAACCAGTTGAGGTGGTGGGTTTAATAAATATATAATTATCTCTCTCTCTATCTCTCTCTCTCTCTCCATCGCCTTCTCAAAGTTAATCAACATCAAAAATTGATTTTGGAATATTTTGGACACTCCCTGCTTTGTCCAGGAGGAAGTTCATCTATAAATTGGAGGATTTCCCACAGCCAGCTTGGGTGGCCAGAGGCTACGCAACTAAGTGCAGATTTGACCTGTATGACTGGTTGATTGCACCTACGATGGGATCAGCGAAGCCCTGTTTTATTCATTGCAGTGATCTGACCTGGGCAGTGGAAAGTCTACTGGTGATATACGCTTTATAAATCAGACATGAGCGACCGAAGTGATTTGACGTTACTGCAAAAGGCGAGGCGGACCCTACCTCGTTTTGCATCGCTACACTTGGTTCGTATCTTTTCTACCTCTTCAATCTTACCTACCTCGTTTCCTCAGCCTGACCCACCCTTGTTTTGGACCTAATTCTGAGGTCAAAGTTGAAAGTGTTTCCACCCAAGAGCTACTGCACATGTGATCGAATACATGGGTGTAAATGAAATTGGGATTCGACACGGTTTGATGGGGTCTCCCTTTGATATGCTTGATTGGCACTCGCCACTCTAGCGTTGGTTTGGGTTCACGCTCATCGACTTGAAGTTTGAATAAGCTTGATAGGTTGGCCTCCATTCCTTCTTGGTTCATATCGCCACCCCCATTGGTTCAGTAGCCAGTCATCTAAATATTCAATGTTTGCTGGCCTATCTCCTCAGATTCAAGTTGAAGCACAACAAAGATCAGAAAGTTACAGCCGCACCAGGTGAACGTCAAGCCCCTCAGCGCCCCAAACACACGACATGCGCCTTGACGCCACTCGGCTGAGACATGGCCGGAGATTCCAAGATCCGCTGCCGCAAATCCTGCACCTGGACGGGACGGCACATGCAGCGCCCTGGGGAACCTGACTTCCACATCCTCACGAGCCTCACGATTCTATTCATCATGTTTCTTTCTGCAGATCTTGTATCTCACATGGGGTTTTCCTAAAATGGAGGGTACCCCCAAATCATCCAAGACATTATATAGACCATTTTAATATTGAAACAACCATGGTTTAAAAATACACCATAACTTAAGAAACCCCCACATAGTCATGTCATCACGATGAAAGGCCGCGGGTTCCAGCCCCCCTTTGGGCCCCTTTTCGGGCCCTCTTTTCAGGCCATGCCTTGGGCCAGTAGGCCTGATGCTCGCAGCAAGGCAAAGCTTCCAGCGCTGGATTTGGACCTCCAACGCGGGGCAGTGTCCCCCGTGGCTGGAAGCGCTTGGATCAAGCTGGTTTTATGTGCATGATTTAAACGCAGTCTTAGGGGTTACTCAGATATATATATATATATTTATATTTATATATATATATATTTATTTATATTTATATTTATTTATATTTATATTTATATTTATATTTATTTATTTATCGAAGGAAGTTTAGAAGTGAAACTTCCGACAATATGGACAGTTGAAAAGCAGAGGTGAGAAGAGTCAGAAGAGAAAAGATCAGAAGAAAGAAGATGCAGATGCGCGAAAAGATAGGAAAGTCGCGAAACACTGTGTTTTTCCAATGATTTGGGGCTCCGGAGGGTCGAAAAGTAGGCTCGCTAAAGCGGCGGGTGCGGAGCCAGCTGGCCAGATGAGACATGAAAAAGTGCACGCCGTTGTGGCGCGAAGCACATTTCCAAGTCAAAATGGACAAAACACTAGAGGATCGGACCACTTTTGGAAGTTGAGATGTCGAAAAAGTGCACGCCGTTGTGGCGCGAAGCACATTTCCAAGTCAAAATGTACAAAACACACATCAGGTTCGGACCACTTTTGGAAGTTGAGATGTCGAAAAAGTGCACGCCGTTGTGGCGCGAAGAACATTTCCAAGTCAAAATGTACAAAACACACATCAGGTTCGGACCACTTTTGGAAGTTGAGATGTCGAAAAAGTGCACGCCGTTGTGGCGCGAAGCACATTTCCAAGTCAAAATGGACAAAACACACCAATGTCGGACCACTTTTGGAGGTTCAGATGTCGAAAAAGTGCACGCCGTTGTGGCGCGAAGCACATTTCCAAGTCAAAATGTACAAAGCACACCAATGTCGGACCACTTTTGGAAGTTCAGATGTCGAAAAAGTGCACGCCGTTGTGGCGCGAAGCACATTTCCAAGTCAAAATGTTAAAAACACTAGGGGTTCGGACCACTTTTGGAGGTTCAGATGTCGAAAAAGTGTCGAAAAAGTGCACGCCGTTGTGGCGCGAAGCATATTTCGAAGTCAAAAGTGTAAAAAACTGAAGGTTTTGAGCCTTTTCTGACGTGAAGATGTCGAAAAAGTAGACACTGATTAACTTAACTAACTTGACTAACTTAACTAACTTCACTAACTTCACTACCCTAACTTCGACGACAACAGCAACAGCAACAGCAACAACAACAACAACAACACCAATCACAACCACAACAACAACAACAACTACTACAACTACAACTACAACAACAACAACTACACAACAACTACACAACAACTACAACTACAACTAGAACTACAACTACAACAGCTACAACAACAACAACAACAGCAACAGCAACAACAACAACAGCAACAGCAACAGCAACAACAACAACAACTACAACTACAACTACACAACAACTACAACTAGAACTACAACTACAACAACTACAGCTACAACAACAACAACTACTACTACTACTACTACAACTACTACAACTACAACTACAACAACAACAACTACTACTACAACTACAACTACAACAACTACAACTACAACTACAACAACAACAACTACTACTACTACACTACACAACAACTACAACCACACAACAACTACAACTACAACAACTACAACTACAAAACAACTACAGCTACAACCATATGACTGCAACTACACTACACTAATGACATTACACCACAACTACAACTCCACTACGCTACAACTACAACTACAGTTGCAGTACATCACACTACATCCAGCAGTTGGGGATGAGGTGACCACTGCAACCACTGCAACCATTCCAGCAAACACAACTCCAACCACCTTTCGGTCAATCAGTGGCTTCGCTCTGCCATCCCTGGTTCACAACAACCAACTTCTCCTATAGGTTTCCTATTTTTGAAACTTCCGCCACCGCCTTGTGCGGTACTACTGGTATATATATATATAATATAATATAATATAATCTAATATAATATAATATAATATAATATATATTTATATTTATATATATATATATAAAACCAATTTTGGCTAGTTATGCACTTGCGTGTGTGTATACATGTAACATTAACACCGGATGAGAGTTAACCGCTGGGCTTGGGGGCAACCATTTAATAGCAAATGACATTACTATTTCTGCGGAAATCCCAAATTCATCAGTTTGTTGATCCGAGGTTCACATTAGTGCGAAAATCTTGGTTTGCAAATATTTTGGGATCGAAAGAATCAGGGGCCCATAACATTTCCTTCACACAGCAACTCAATGATTCTCTTGATAATCTTGATATCTGCTGATATTGGTAATTCCTGATAATCATTGATAATGAATTTCCTCATCCCATATAGACACCACTGATTCTTTTTGTGACCACCATCTTTTCTTAATAAAAATGGTCTACTCGACGTTCCGCCCAGCCACAAAAGGCTGCCGCAATGGCGCTGCGCGCGCAGCTTCGCCCAGCCCCTTCTGGAGGTTGCAAGAGGCGCCGCGCCACGGCTTCGCCTTCTCCAGGGATCGAAGTATGAGGGGCACATCTGCAACTGCTTGGTGGAACAGCCATGAAAAAATGATGGAAAAATATTGTAAAATGGGATAGAAACAGATAGAAACATATAGAAGCCATAAATTGGGAGAGGTTCTATAGTGACTAACACCAGAAATTGTACTGGTGGTTGGGCCACCCACCTGGGACCATTTCCCAGTAGTTCCACCGGATGTCCAAACAGCATAGGACCCTCACAACACGTTTATTTAAGCTTCGGTGGCATCCCCAACAGCCGCAATGTTTTATTTTTACAAATCTTCCTGCAGCCAAGCGCTGGAAACACCCCTGCTGGGTTTCCGTGAGTTAAATGGGTGCAAATCCTGTTGAACTGACCTGCCTCTGCACCAAAGCCTCCCAGACCTTCTCCGGAACCTTCTCCGGAACCCTGTTGAACCTGACCCGGCTCTGCACCAAAGCCTCCCAGACCTTATCCGGAACCTTCTCCGGAACCTTTTTGAACGTGACCTGGCTCTGCACCAAAGCCTCCCAGACCTTCTCTGGAACCTTCGGAACCTTCTCCGGAACGAGGTCCTGTCCCGCCGCCTGCACCAGTGCACACCGCAGCTATTCTGGGCTGAAGACCCCATTAGCTTACGCTGTTGGGGAGGGAAAAAAAACATTGAACCGCTGGAACACATTGTCCTTTCAGGCGGCCGATAATGTTCACCCGTGGGTTGATACAGCAGAACAAAAATATGATGGAAAACAATTATTGTTTCAAATCTATCCCATATCTTAATATAGGGGATGGCTTACAAATTCCCTTGAGACCTATTTTTAGACCTTGTCAGCTTAGGCATCTGGTTCTCTTCTCAAGCAAGTTCGCAACTTCAAAATCAACCCCTGTGGGAAAATCAGCAAATATCATCCCTTCAGTCAGCTGCTGGAACTGATTTGTTCTCGCAGGATGTTTGTCTCTCAGCCAACCCTTTGGATCTTAGTTGGGGGCGATTCGGCCCCGAACCTCCGAATGACCATGTTGAGATGCCAGGTCATAAGGAGTTGCTCCATTGCGCATGGTGGCTTGGGTATCGGCGCCTCTGTCAACCAAAAAGCGAACCATTTCAACATAACCCCTTTCTACCGCAACATGCAAGGCTGTTGCCCCACTAAGCTTAGTTGCCACCTCCTTGCTGGCACCAACTTCAAACAAATGACGGACGACCTCTAGATGGCCGTTGAAAGCCGCAGCAAAAAATGGTGTTTCACCATCATTCTTGGCTTGATCTTTGTCAGCACCAACCTCCACAAGATGACGCACAACGTCAAGATGGCCACGCCAAGCTGCAGCACAAAGTGGTGTTCCACCATAATTTGTGGCTTGATCTTTGTTGGCACCAACTTCCAAAAGATAACGGACAATGTCAAGATGGCCACTAAAGGCTGCGACCCACAGTGGTGTTGCACCATAATTTGTGGCTTGATCTTTGTCAGCACCAACCTCCATAAGATGACGCACAACGTCAAGATGGCCACGCCAAGCTGCAGCACAAAGTGGTGTTCCACCATAATTTGTGGCTTGATCTTTGTTGGCACCAACTTCCAAAAGATAACGGACAATGTCAAGATGGCCACTAAAGGCTGCGACCCACAGTGGTGTCGCACCATCATTCGCGGCTTGATCTTTGTCAGCACCAACTTCCAAGAGATGACGAACAATGTCAAGATGGCCATTACAGGCTGCGACCCGCAGTGGTGTCGCACCATCATTCGCGGCTTGATCTTTGTCAGCACCAACTTCCAAGAGATGACGAACAATGTCAAGATGGCCATTGCAGGCTGCGACCCACAGTGGTGTTGCACCATAATTTGTGGCTTGATCTTTGTCAGCACCAACCTCCATAAGATGACGCACAACGTCAAGATGGCCACGCCAAGCTGCAGCACAAAGTGGTGTTCCACCATAATTTGTGGCTTGATCTTTGTTGGCACCAACTTCCAAACGATGACGCACAACATCAAGATGGCCATTAAAGGCTGCACTATACAATGGTGTTTCACCATAATTTGTGGTTTGATCTTTGTCAGCACCAACTTCCACCAAAACACGTACAACGTCAAAATGTCCATTGTAGGCTGCAAAACACAGTGGTGGTGCACCAGAATTTGTAGCTTGATCTTTGATAGCACCGACCTCCACCAAAAGACGCACAACGTCAAGATGACCATTGGATGCGGCAGAACACAGTGGTGTTACACCAGAATTTGCAGCTTGATCTTTTTCAGCACCAATGTCCACCAAATGTTGCACAACATTAAGATGGCCTTCTTCAGCTGCAACCAACAAGGCGTTGCACCATTAGGATCCGTGTGCTGCTCTTTGTCAGCGCCAACCTCCACCAAATGCCGCACGACGTCAAGATGTCCGTTTTGAGCTGCTAGATGCAATGGCGCCATTCTGTCTTGTTGTCTTTCTTTTTCGTCTATTTTAGCAGCTAATAGCACTTGCTTCGAGCAATAGCTGCAGGCTTTCAACGTGTCCGATAGACGACGCTGAAAGCCCAGAGTGCAATGGTGTTCTGCCGTATTCGTCTCTCACATTCGGATTCAAAGGGCTTTTCAGCTTCTCTACTTCGATCAAATCATTGTCGGCAACCGCGGAGAGCAACTGTTCATATCGTTAGCTTTGTTCGGCATCAAGTGGACAAAATTCCAATATCACCAAGTTTATCTTCACGGCATCTGAAGCAAAAATTTCCTCATCCGGGATCTCGCAACCATCTGCTGAAAAGAGTCTTTGCCTAAATCTTGTAATACCCATCCGAGCTGCCAAGGTTTGCTTCACAGATTTTGCAGTTCTTCCTTCGAATTCACCAGGGGCAAGGACTGCCAACTTTACACCTGAAACAAGGAAGCACACCTCCATCGCGAAGCGGCTCGCTAAAATCCAAGCAAGCTGTAGTCAGACCTCCTCGCACGTGTAAAAGATGTTTCCTTTCGAGAAATTGCGATTGTGAATCTACATAAATCACCAAGAAAGATGTCATGAGTCATGTGTAGATCTCCAGCCTGCAGCCCGTCACACTTTGACTGCATTCATCCTGCTGTTTTATATATACTTCACATGAACTTCAATGGCCACATCAAGTTTTGGTCTGACAGTTTGCGACGCATCTGAACCACCGATTCTGAGGTGGTTTCAGCACCCTGCAAAAATCTGGTATACCATCCCATCATATCATATTATATCCCATGTGTGTCTAGTGACTATAGTGTTGTTTTTGAATTTGGGGATGAAATCAGTCCAAGGTGGAAGATCCTGACGATCCCAGACTTCGCAACGCCTAAGTCGAAACGGGCACCATTGACCAACAGCATCAGCTCAGGTTTGGAGTTCGCAGGGCGCAAACACCTCAGCTAGTGGCCCTCACAGATCCAGGAATGGAGGAGACAACATTAAAGAAATGCAAGAGTTCAGAGATACGAAAAAAAACATATATAAACCTGATTGACAATGGTTTGAGGTTGAAAAATGCCTGTGCATATTTTTCTGAGTTCATGGGCGAATTTTCCAGTCAACATGGCCACAAAAACATCTGTCCCAAATGGCCAAATGCTGGGTACAAAATGTCGGGTTCAAATGTTGGTAATACGCGCCGCAGTCTTAAGGAATTCTAAGGAATGCCCTGCAGGGAGTGAATTGGAAATGCCAATTCCACATATGCTGGGTCGAGGCCTTCAGGATCACTCCAAAAAATGGTCAGAAAACACGTGGTTTCGATGTCTAGGCTTTTGAACATATGCACCATTCAAAGCCAAGGTTTTGACCACGACTCCCAGCATGATGAGGATTCAACCCAAACAGTGCCTTCAGAAAAACATGCGAGGGGGGCATGGGCAGGAGTCAAGGAGCCGTCCCCTAGCAAATTTCATCAGTACTGACTGATTTCAAGCATCATCATCACCGCCAACAACAACACCATCATCATCATCATCATCATCATCCTCGTCATCGTCATCACCATCACCATCAGCCATAATCATTCATCATCCACCATCATCCATCATCATCCATTATCATCCATCCTCATCCATGATCATCCATGATCATCCATCATCATCCACCATCATCCATCATCATCCACCATCATCCATCATCATCCACCATCATCCATCATCATCCATCATCATCCATCATCATCCACCATCATCCATCATCATCCATCATCATCCATCATCATCCATCATCATCCACCATCATCCATCATCATCCATCATCATCCACCATCATCCACTATCATCCACCATCATCCATGGTCATCCATCATCATCCATCATCATCCACCATCATCCATGGTCATCCATCCTCATCCATCATCATCCACCATCATCCATCAACATCCACCATCATCCACCATCATCCATCATCATCCATCATCATCCACTATCATCCACCATCATCCATCATCATCCATCATCATCCATCATCATCCATCATCATCCACCATCATCCATCATCATCCATCATCATCCACCATCATCCACCATCATCCATGATCATCCACCATCATCCATCATCATCCACCATCATCCATGGTCATCCATCCTCATCCATCATCATCCACCATCATCCATCAACATCCACCATCATCCATCATCATCCTCCATCATCCATCATCATCCATCATCATCCATCATCAATCCTTCAACCACCATGATCAAACCCCTTTCATGTTCTGAGGCAATTTTGTCCCCCAACAACTGCGTCAAACAGAAATAGTGCAAGCCATGCTACTCCTCACTGACTCCCTCAGCTGCCAAGGCCATATGGCCCAGGGCCTCGATATCTCGCCTGCAGCTCTTCAGTTTTCCTAATGAAATTGCCATTTGTGCGCATACATATTTATGTACATACATACATACATACATCCATCCATCCATCCATACATACATACATACACATACATACATAAATAACATACATAACATACATACATACATACATACATACATACATACATACATACATACATACATACATACATACATACATACATACATACATACATACCATACATACCATACATACATACCATACATACATACCATACATACATACCATACATACATACCATAACATACATACCATACATACATACATAACATACATACATACATACATACCATACATACATACATACATACATACATACATACATACATACATACCATACCATACAAATACCAGACATACCATCATACCATACATACCAAGACATACCATACATTACATACATTACATACATTTACCTACTTACATACTTAACTATACAGGCATCAGTAACATGCAGTACAATGCATATTAACATGCATTACATGCATTACAATGCCTTACATGCATTTACATACATTACAATACATTAACAATACATTACATAACAGTACATACATTACATACATTACATCCTTACATCCATTACTTACATCCATTGCATTACATTGCATACACATTGCATACATTACGCATCATAACCGCATACATACTCCATACATACGCATACAGACCATACATACGCATACATACGCATAATACGCCATACATCCTCATACAATACGCATACTACGCATTACATACGCATACATACGCATACTCCCATACATACCAATACCTACCACATACATACCATTACATACCATTACATACATTACATACCATTACATACCATTACATACCATACCATTACATACCATTCCATACCCTTACAACCATTACATACCATTACATACCATTACATACCATTACATACCATTACATACCATTACAGACCATTACAAACCAGTACATACCATTACATACCATTACATACCATTACATACCATTACATACCATTACATACCATTACATACCATTACATACAATTACATACCATTACATACCATTACATACCATTACATACCATTACATACCATTACATACCATTACATACCATTACATTACATTACATTACATTACATACATTACATACATACATTACATTCATTACATTCATTACATACATTACATTCATTACATTCATTACATACATTACATTCATTACATACATGACATACATAACATAACATACATAACATACATAACATACATAACATACATACATACATACATTACATTACATTACATTACATTACATTACATTACATTACATTACATACATTACATACATACATTACATTACATTACATTACATTACGTTACATTACATTACATTACATTACATCACATCACATCACATTACATTACATTACATACATACATACATACATTACATAACATAACATAACATTACATTACATAACATAACATTACATTACATTACGTTACATACATACATATATATATATATTCTATCTATATGATCTATATCAATCTATGTCAATCTATGTCAATCTATGTCTATCTATGCCTATCTATATCTATCTACATCTATCTATGTCTATCCATGTCTATGTCTCAACATGTCTAAACCTATACTTGTACCTAGATTCTATACCTCTATCTATCTATATCTATCCATCTATCTACCTATCTATCTATCTATCTATCCTATCCTATCCCATCCTATCCTATCTTATCTGGCCTTATCCTATCTATCTAATTGTATGATTTTGTATGTGTGTGTGTGTGTTTCCTTCATCTATATGTAGCATATGTATGCGCATACATAATAATATAATACATGATTAGGTATATGATTATATATGTGTGTCTGGGTCCGTGTGTGCGATATATATATATATGATATGTATAATTATTATTATTATCATCATTATTATTACTATTAATGTTATTGTTATTATTATTGGTTTAATATTATTTGTATTATTTATTTATTTTTTAGTTTATCTGTTTATTTATTTATTTGTTTATGATTGTTTATGTGTTTGTTTTTTTATCTGTAATTTTTATCCAGGTGAACCTCCTGATTTTGCAGGTCGCATCGAAGCCGGGCTCCCCCAACTCATCGATGCTGCCCATAGTCACATGGACCACCACTGAGCCTTGGAAGGCATCCCATGGGTCCCAATGGTGATGTGATGCCTACCGGGGATGGTTAAAGAGGGGGGAATATGGGAAATGGTACATATTGTACTACCTAATTTTTGGGGGATGATAATCCATGGTAGGGAGAAACCTGTCCAACTAGTATATTGAGATGGGGTAGGATCTTTTATGGGTGAAATGTTCATGAAATGTTGAGGAAATAATATGTCGAGGAAATAATATGTTGATGTAAGGATCATGTGATTTGGCAAAACCACCCCACAAAGGCGGGTTTTATCTTTGATGGTGCTTGCGAGTGTGCCCAGATAGTTTTGGCTCCTTCCATCTTCCACCCACAATGACTCATGAGTGTTGCATCAGGGCATTCCTAATCTTCCCACCCACGAAGCACCGAGTTTTTCAGGACGTCGCTGTTTTTGCTCCAGGAGCTTGCTGCGACTAGTGCTCTCCATAGCAATCGCTGCATTCGCCGCCATAGAAGTCGCAGCCCCGCTTGCCGCAGCCCCTGATGCAAGCATCCTCTCCTGGCCTTGCTGGTCTAGGGTCGAAACCATACTCGTCATCGGAAGAGTCACTATCACTCGGGCAAACAAAAAGCTCATCCTCTTCCCAGTCACAATCCTCTTCAGTATCCTCGCACAGTTCTTGAGCTTCGTGAAGAACAGCATAGATTTCTGACCCGTTCTGCAGGCCGGCCTCTGCTAGTTTCTGGCCATCAGCAATGACCCCGCCTCCCACATGAACCAACTTTTGAAGATCTCCCTGTGCTTGGACCCTCGAAAGTTCCCGTGTCACCGCTGCTTTCACGTCTGTGGTGGTCCAGGTGGGTGGGCAAGGGAGTTGCAGCAGCTCCCCTCCGGCTATGTACAGAATCCGCAGGGACAACTCGGATTTCGGTACTTCCTTCTGCTCCTGTGCTTCTTCTTTGGAAGCTTCGGAGATGCTTGCTGCAGGGCGTTTCATTGCTAGCGTAGCACTAGAACACACAGTTGGTAACGCTTCTTGAGCAGCTGCTGCCCTCGACCCAAAAGGAAACCACTTGAAGGGTCATTTTGCCTTTGGGGCAAAAACTTGATAAAACTTGGACCCACATCCCCCATATCAAAATGCTCCGTTGGCCCATCCCCCGCATCTTGTCAAGATACTCAGGTGATAGGCCAAAAAGCCCACCACCCCGAAGCCACGCGCACTCAGGGAGGAGCCCATGATGTGGAACGCACCTTCACCTCGGACCCATGGCTACCAAATGCCCCAAGGGGAACTAAGAAATTGAAGAAATTGATCAAATTCCCTTTTTTGCAGAAAATTCAGATGGTATCAGCCCATTTTCTGCGAGAAAATTCCCCTTTCCCTGGGACGATCCTCACTGCCAGGCGGCAATCTGCAAGCACTAGCGCGCCACCGCCCGGCAACCGCTTGGCTGCCACGTCCACACCGCTGGTCACGGGGTCGAAGGAGCTGCCGGTCTCGAAGCCCCTGGGAAATGTGATGTTGAACTGGGCTCAACCAATCAATAAAAGCAGGTTTTTTGGTGGAAACCAATTTGTTGTTTCTTTCTTGGAAAGATCAAGGGTGACAATCAAGTTTTAGCCAGATTTTATCAAATTTATAGTAGATTCTTGGGGATGACTGAGATTATTTTGGGGTAAAATGTGGTTTAACCAGGTTTGACCAATTTCTGTTCGGGTAGAACCAATCAATGGGATTATGCTTGGGGAATATGATGGTTAAATATGCAGCCACCAGCAAAAAACGATAGAGAAGTCCAGATCTTTCCATGTAAAATTCCCTTCAACCCATCCATATGGCTTTCCCGCCAGAGAACCTCTTCTCGGCAGCATCCCCGTAGAGCAGGGCATTGCAGACGGTGCTTTTGCCGCAGCGACTGCCGCCAATGGTGAAGATCACGTGGAGAGGAGCCCCCACCTCCCAACTACCGGGGACAGGGAGCGGATTTCTTAGTGAACAATCTGGGAATTTCCTTTGAACTCTAGTCAATTAAGGGGGGAAAACTATACATAACAATGAAGGATGATGATAAGAATGATAATAACAATAACAACAGCAATAAAATCTACAATGAAAGTGATATAACATCAATAAATGCAAAACAACCGGGACGGCCCACGGCACACGACGAAGCACTGTCAGGCCCTCCTCTTGCAGCTCAAGCCCTTGGAGGTGTTGCTTTGGGATCATCCCGGGCAATAAAAATGGTGAAAATGGTGAAAATCATCTATAAATTGAGGTTTTAATGGGATTTTAACCAAGAAAAATTGTGATTTAATGAGACTTAAGGGGATTAACTAATAAAATCGAGGTAAAAATTCATCATCCAAGGATATCTCAGGTAAAAACTCATCGAAAATGAAAAAGTGTTTGAAAACATTTCGAAACTCACCGGTTCAACGACTGATTTATGGAAGTTGTTTGGATCTTGGTGCCCCAAATCATCTCATGTGCTTGGGCCGCTTTCGGGTTACTGGACCTACGGATGCCTCCCATCTGTCGCAGCCCAACTCTTGCAGACATCTAATGTCAGACTGTTGTGCCCTCGGATTATGTTCACGCAATGCTTACGGTAAACCATAGTTTGCCGCGGTAAGTTTTGGGGGGCTCCTGGAAGTTTTCCTTTCATCCACTTCTGGGCGTTCTCCACTTGTTCTACTCCCCTTTACCTTTCACCCAGCCACGCCCCTCATTGTGTCTCAACAGCGGCGCAGGGCCAATTACCGCCATGACATTGGCGAAAGAAGCCCGGCTGTAGAGCCAGGCCAAGCAAAATTTCCCGCTGGTGATAGAAATTGGGAAATTGGAAGTGCTACCATCCAGGCATTGTTGCTGAGTGTTTTTGAAGGGCCTGCCATTATAAAATCATTATATGTATAATACATATTTAAAAAAATAATATAAATATACATATTGTGATTATTTTGGCCCAATCTGCATTTGGATCGGCTTCAATTGGTGTTCAAAGCTTGCAACCGCTCCAGAGATGTGCTTGCCATGCTTCAAGCCTGGTCCTAAGCGAAAGAAAGTCGAGCCTGACATCCAAGGGCTCCGCTTACTCTGCAACTTTGGGATTGTTTGTACAAGGTGGTGCCCCCTAGATAGCTAAGTTGGTGAACATAACTCCAATAACTATGGTTTTTGTTGGTGATATATCTATAGTTAATGGGATTATAAACCAACTTATAACTGGGGGGCACCACCTTGTATGTGTTATTTTTCTGGCTCCTGTTGCACCTAAATTCTCTGTGCAACTTGATTGGGCTTCCAATCTTCATGATGGCTTCGCATCCATGTCTTCCTGTTTAAAAATGGCTAAGGAATGGAAAGCACTTGGTGTCATTGCACTTCTCTCCCTTTATGAGAAAAAGTGTTGCATCCCGCGTCCCTCTTGAACAGTATTCATCTCATGCCTTGAAGAAGGGAACTTCATGTCACCCAAGGCAATCACTGGCAGACCCTTACCTACTACGGGAGACAATCAGTAGCAATGTGATATAATATACTGATATACGTTTATATTGTTTCATCGTTCAAAGTCGCCTAGAGTGGCACATTGCTATCAAACCATTCCCTGTAGCCGTTTCATTTTGCTCCTTTGGCACACCATTGATGAAAAAAGGGGTTGTAAGTTGTAAGGGTAGTAACCCTTATTGCAAACAGAATCAATGGAAAAATATCTCTCTCCCTCTCTCACTCGTTTCTTGTGAACTGATATGTTCATCTTTGCCATCTCAAATTACATGGATGTGAACCCCAGCGAGGGGGTGGTTCACAATCCATGTGCAACCCACATATACTTGACACATTCTTGACGCATTCCATATAGAGCTGACTTCCAAGATGGTTCTTACCCCGGATCCCCAAATACAGTACCCCTTTGGGCCCTCACTGCTTCGCCAACTTTTGACCTGTGGGCTGGGTCTGTGCCTAGGAATATGGGTCAACAAAAATCAGAGATGAACAACGTTTCCTCCATTCAGCTCTGAAAAGAAATCTGCAACAAAAATATCTGTGTTTTTGCCGTAAACATTTATCTTTATATGCGCACTTGGCTTGGAAAATGATTCTCCTAAGAATTCTCCTAAGAATTCTCCTAGTGAAAAGGAGCCTTTCAAAGTTCTACATCAGATTTAGAGGCAGAAACAAAAAGGCTTCAGCAGGACTAGCCAGGGCCCCAAGATTGCCTTCTCGAGTATTGGTGAATACCCCACGACGTACCCTCTTGTATAGAATAGCTATGGAAAATCACAATTTCTAACAGGTAAATCATGTATGGATGGGCCATATTCCATAGTTTTGTTAAATCTTATGTCAAAGGGCCTCATAGTTTTGCATATGTTTGTTGATCTTTTTTTTTTGGCCAAGCGCAGGCCAGACAGGCTGAGCGCAGAATCCAACGTAACCATGCAGAAAATACTGTGCCAGGGGGGTGAAACTGATCTCTACCTTGCAGTGCAATGTCAAAAAAACGTTAGTGTAGGAGACAAACATGAAATTAGAAACAACTTAAAGATGTCAAGGGGGAGACAAAAGTAATCCCAATACCCACTGTGATATTGGCAGGGCAGGGAGAAAGCCCTTTGCTTTCGGTGATGATTTTCGGTGACGATTTTCGGTGACGATTTGCCACAATTTTCGGTGATGATTTCGGTGACGATTTTCGGTGATGGATCACGAGAAGACTCCAATTCTCTGGCAAGCTAGGTCGTTGACTAGCTGTCTATGCGCAGGATTATCTATGTCAAATGGGTGTGGTTGGTTCAGAGTTTGGTAAGCATCATCATATGTTGTTGTTAACCATTGTTGTCGAGGTTTTCCGGGCCGCTTACGAAATTCCAATCTTGGAATTAAAGTTCCTTTTTCAAACAGAACTTGTCTCATAGGGTCACTAGGCGCAGATCTGATAATATGACCAAGAAGGGAAAGTTTGCGTTGTTGCCAAATGGAGGAGAACATTCTTAGGTCCGTGTTCATGTGGTTTCTAATTTGAGATTTGACAAAATCATTTGTTATTGTGCGGTCGATATATGTGGGGGGTAAATGTAGGATCCTTCGATATCCCTTCAACTGAAAACTATCTATTCTTTTCCGATCTGTCAAATTTAACTGTATGGTTTCTAATCCGTATAACAGCTTACTTCTGAGGATAGAATGAAAAACTTGAACTTTCCATTTGATGGATGTCTTCGCTTTGTTCCAAAATAATTTGAGTTGATTTCATGTACGGGTGCAATCAGCAATCCGCTTCATAATCTCTCTGTGGTTGTCCACGGTGTCAGTGAGTAATGTACCTAAATAGAAGGCTGACCTTTTTCTCTGGACCGGTGTGCCGTCCAAGTATTTGATGGATGATTGTTTTTGGTTTAGTGTGAGGTTTACGCATTTGTCTAAGTTCAATTCCATATTGTAATATTTTGATTCTAGCTGTATTTCCTTTAGCAGCAGGTTGATATGATGAGTATAATTCCCAAAGATAAGTGTGTCATCCGCATACAATATTTCAGTATATTCAATACCACTTAGAGGTTCTTTTTGCTTTGGTGTGGTCAGTCTTTGTTTGATATCATGGAAAAGGGTTGACATTAGGATAACAAAGAGGTAGGGTGACAAAGGACAACCTTGTCTAATTCCTGAACGTTGTGTTCTGTAATTAGAACTGTGTCCGCCGGTTGCGACTCTGAATTTCGGAGAAGAATAGATATGTTCAATGGTTTTAAGCATCCTGGGCGGTACCTTTAATCTACGAAGAGCTTGTAGAAGTTTTGATTGGTTTACTTTATCAAAAGCCATTTTCCAATCCAATAGAACCAAAGATAGATTTGACCCTGTACGTTCTGAGATGTCCATCAGGCGTCGGGCAAGAAAGATGGCCTGAGCTGTTGATTTCTTTGGTCTGAAACCGAATTGACTTCTTTGTATCCATGGATCATATGCTTGTAAAAGGCGGTTTTTGATAAGTCCTGCAAGAATTTTGTATAGTGTTTGTAGGAGTGCTATAGGTCTGTAATTTTTCATCTGTGTTGCATCTCCCTTTTTGTAAATCGAGACAATGTTTGCCAATTTAAAGCTTTCAGGGTATATGTCCCTGTCCAGAATGTCATCATTCAAGCAGAATATGTCTGTTTCCGTGGTTGAGCTATTGAAAGAATTCGGCTGGGCAATTATCTGGCCCAGGTGTTTTGCCGTGTTTTTGCATTTTAAGGACATGGTCTAATTCTGCATTAGTAAAATTTTCATCCGTCATACATGTCTCTCCGAAACAAATATATTGGTCTTCGTATGATAGGTTAATGTCATCATCTGCGGGCGGTGCCCATTGTACTGTTTCCAGATACGTAGCAGCTTCGTCAGCAAAATCGGATTCTTTGTTGATCTATTTCTAAACAGAAATGTTGGTGAACCCATCTCAAATCTTTGTTTTGGTCGGCTTGAATCTTCTCCAATCCCGAATCCTCCAGTGCTGGGTCTGGTTTTTCAATAGAATATGCCCCAAACTCCGCTGGTTTATCATCATTATCTCAGCCTAGGAACTGCCATTTGGAAGTATACAGTAACCCATTTTTAGCATCATGTTGTCCGTAACAATGTTCCATGGTATTATGTAGCATGATATTCCTAGTATTGCCTTGGTCAAATTCCAAATTCTTCATTGACACTATGACTCATCATTGCTCAAGAATCATACTGCCAATCATATACCCTGCCGCTATCCCATATAATGTGGGAAAATACAATAATAAACCACCCATTTGGGAATGGTTTATACCACCTATTTATGGTGATTTGGGGGATGGTTCATTACTGCTTTATCCCCATTATATCCCCTCTTCATCTTCCCATTCTGCTTGAATTGTTCATCCCCAGAAAGGTCCACCCATCTCCCATAGATTAGCGCCGCACGCGTCCGGAGCAGCTCCAGCGCGGAGGCATGGAAGTCTGGTCCAAAGCGGCGGTAGTAGGCCTCCGTGCCATCAGAGAAAACAAGTCATATCTATGCGATATATCAATGGGGATATAAATGGGGATATATATGCATGTAATCCACAATAGTGGGATATAGTGATTATATGCAATGATTATATATATATATCATACAATGATTATATATATGCAGCAAAATGATAATATAATATGTATATATATATATATAATGGTTATATATGGTTATATATTCATATTATATAATGATTAAGGTAATATCTGATGGTGATGTAATATATCAATTGTTAATGGAATATAGCCCACAGTTTTAGTTAATGGGATATCACCAACCATGTGTAGGTAATAGATTTGGTAATAAACAATCTTTATAGCTAATGGGATATAACAAACCATAAATGGTGATTTATTGGGTATACACTCGGAATGTAGTTGGATTGTATATGATTTATTCAAAAAAAAAAACAATTGGGGTTGCCAGTCCCTTATGCATGGAAGTTTATAGCCGGAAAATCAACTATAAATGGATATAAATGATGGCTTTTCCAGCAAGCTGTGTTTGATTGCCAGAAGGGGATTTCTTACCATGGGTACAGTATATCATCCCCAAGGGTTGATGACCATGATGATGGGCGCATCACATAACCCATGTCGTGACCATGACACGTGTAGTCGGCGTTCTTTCGGATCTTTCGGTCTCTCTGAAAATGCTGATTGACCTCCCATGGTTGAGCCACCAACGGGCCCTGCGCCTCAAAGACTTGGCTCCTTGTGGAGCCCACGCTGCA